TATATATAGAGGGCCTCCCTTTCATGTTTCAAGGTTAGAAAAATTTTAGAGCAAAATTTTTCCTCTCTCTCTATAATTCTCTCTCTTTCTCTAGCAAATTCTTACACTTTTGCTTACAAATCATAAACCGTTGCCTATACACTCTTAACCAAACCTCTTCATCTTTGAGCTGAGGTATTCTTGAGCCTTGTTGGAGCTCTAGAGGGTGTGTTTGCTTGGTTTTGTTGCTTGGAATTGATTTCCCCTTCAAAAGGTATAAGGCTTTGCCTATTTGCTTGCTTTGTCTACTCTTTTTCTTGTTGTTTTCTAACTATTTTTGGGCTATAAAAGTTCTGTATTTTTGGGCTGAAACTTGGGTCTTCAGGCCATTGAAGGTTGAGGGGTGGTTCACCCTTCTTTGTACCTTGCTTTGAGGGCCTTTTCCCTTGTGTTTCCTACCCTTTTACTATCTTTTTCTAAGCTTTTAAACATAAAATTTTCAGAGCTTTTTCAGTGGCCAAAATCATGTTTTGAAGTCCAAATTTGGAGGAGTTAGCCTCCACTCTTTTTGTCTTGCTTACTAGCCTAACTTGTGCCATGTTTTAGCATGTTATTCTAGCCTTTTTTAGCTTAATTCCAGCATGTTTTAGGACTTATTTTAGACTATTTTAGCTTTATTTTTGGTTGATAGTTGCATTTGAGCTTTGTTTTGCATGCTTATAGTGTAATAGTCCTCATAAATTTGGTGTTCTAAGCCTTAGACACCACCTCCTTTGAGTTGATTGCATTTATTTATGGCTTTCCATACTTGTGATCTCTCTTAATCATCTCTGTAACCTCCCTCCTTTCTTGGCTTTTGTTTTTCTTTGAAAGTGGTTCAAACAACTTGTTTGTTTAAAGTATGAGATTAAGATGTCATGCTTAGTGGTTTAATCCTTTTGAGATTCATTACCAATGGTATGATGTCTCTTTCATGCCTAAGACAACTCTTGGTTTGAAGCTTCTTTCCATTAGAAGACTTAAACTCACCCTTTGGACTCATTTCATTAAAGAATGGTTGGTAATCTAAAATGATGTAATTAAAATTGAGGCTAAAATGGTGCAAGATAATAATTTGGTTGTGTTCAATCGGATGTTAATTGAACAGATGGAAACTTAAGTCATTTCATACTCATTAGTGATGAAATGGTTCAAGTTTCCAAGGTCACTACTTCCCTTGATCTTCCATGATAGGGAGGTGGTTTTGAGAGTCTTATTTCATTGCATTTACTGAACTTGTACACTTTGGTTCATATGCCATCATGCAATAAAATTGTTTGAGTTGATGGTTTATGAACCAAGCTTGCTACTCCTTTGATTTGTTTATGAAAATGAGGGGTGAGTTGTGCAAACAAACCCTTGAAAATACCCTGTGCATGCTCTGTTTGTTCTCTGTTGCAGCAAGGTGAACTAGCCAGCAGTGGTCGGCAAGTTACTCTCCATAGCCGGCAAGCCACCTATGATGGCCGGCCAGCTATCACTAGTGGCCGACAGGCCTTATCACTAGCCAGCCGGCCACTGATGCAAAATTCAGCAATGTGTTCTTTAGGCAAAGCAAAGTTATTCTAGAAGTGGGCAACGGTGTTAGTGTTCTATTGTGTAACAGAGGCTCTCCGAAAGCAAAACAATGGCTTTTCTGGTGGAAACCGAGCATGTGCATGAGCATTCCTCGTGTACCAAACATGTCTAAGTTTAAATTGTTGTAATAAATTAGTTGTAGCTAGTTAATTTTGTAAGGTATTGTAATTAATTAGTTAGTTAACTAGTTATTCAATTTCGTTTTTTAATTAGTTAGCTAATTAGAATAGTTAATTCATTCATTTGTTGTAACAATTAGTTAAGTAGTTTAGCTAAATTTCATTTGTTTTGTGATAATGAATTTAGCTTTAATTAGTTAGTTAATTAGCTTAGTTCATTCGGACTCTCCTTCGTGAGAGCACAATGCAATAATGTGTATGTCTTCCAACTCCACGTCTTTCTCCATTTTATTTACTAGCTTATGATGATTAGTTTAGGGACATCACGTTTTGTTTAACATACTTCATGTTTGCAACCATTTGTATTGCATGCACCGAGACTCGGTTCATCATTCTAACTGCATTGTTAGTTCAGTACTTCTTTGAATACGTGCTTAGACCGCATGTTATTTAATTGATTCATATGACATATTAGTAACCAAGTCTAGTAATTGCATATTGCATGTGTTGCATTAGTCATATTGCATAAGTTAGAATCATGCATTTTTTTAACTCATTTCTCTTTTGGCTTGGAGTATTAAGTGAGCCTTTACTCACTTTAGCATAATTGCATGAATGTTGATGTTGCAATGTTTAGCATGCTTACCATGAGGCTAAATGCTTAATTGATAAATTGCTTGAATGCCTATGGATGAAGGTTTGTTGCTTGAATTGAAATAATTTGAGCAATGTTTATATGTGATCACTTTCTCAAGTGGTACATATTTCGAAACAATTTTCAAAACAAACATGACTCGAAATGTTCCAATTCTTGCAAAGTTAGTCTATACTTGTATGTGTGCATCACATAGTAAAGTTAGCCTAATAAATCGGAACAAGAGCATATAATGTAAATAAAATTCATATCATGATTAGTAGAGGCCGATCTTTGATCTGGCGAGCGGGAGAGCTCAAATTCATTCTTGACCTTTCCCTCTTGTACCTAAGTTCCCGAGCCGAGACAATCTTGGTGATGACGAACACGTGGCCTTTGGCAAGAGTCATGGGTTTCCTAAAGTTTCCTAAAACAAAATATTTAGGTAAGGACTCTGTATCTGGAAAAGCAGTCCATTTTTGGCAATTTGATTCAAAATCGATTTTCCAAAAGATTTGCCGAATTTGGACTATTTGGTGATTATCTATTTCACATTGCACTTGTGAAATCAGATTTAAAACCACGGGAGTCCAATGCTGTAGGGCTTATTTCGACTTCCGAAAGGGGGCACGAAAAAGTCGAGCTACAATATCCCACTGCTTCAAACAAATCATAACTTCAAAAATTAAATAACTTTCAAAAAAAATTCACAATATCTGTGCATATACTCTACTTTTTCTTAATACCAAACCCCTATCTATTAGAATTTTGAAAAGAGTTATAATATTATATGTTCAAATCCTATTATCTATTCAAAACAAAATTCTCCTATCTATTTAAAATTTTACCATCTGTTGAAATTTTGAACAGATAATGTTAAAATTTTGAACATATCTATTATATCTGTCAAATTTTTTTTAATCTATTTTATCATTATTATCATGAACATCAACAATAATAACAATAACAACACAAAAAAAAAAAATGAACAGATACATCATCTGCAAACACACACCCACACAAACAACTCATCATCATCATCATTATCATTTTCTTCCACAGCCAGATTTGAGACTCTATACAAACCAGATCTGAGACTATACAAAATTAGAACTCAACTAGTGTATTCTCTACAAAATAGAACTCAATTAGCGTATTCGTATAGAATTTTACCAGTGTATCAGCATGCATAATATATATATATATATATATATATCGAGTACACTCGCCAGTCCTTGAGTGAGAGAGGGCGAGAGGGCGAAAGTGCAATGAAGTTTAGATTTGGTGAATGTGGCAATTGATTCCGGCCATTGCGACTTCAATCTCGAAGGATCTGGCGATGGCGGCAGTGATGGATTTGGATATGGCTGCGAGATAATGAAGTGACGAAAGATGACGGTGACTTCGACCCAAGCTTTTCCTTTGATGCTTTCATGCTCTCCTCTCCGACTTCAACTTTAGCGATAGCGACTTCAACGTCATCTGGTGGAGGCGGTGCTGCAACTGAGGACATCGGTTGTGGCAGCGGTGATGTGGTAGTTTGCCAGTTGTTCGATGTGATCGAGAGGTGGAGCAATGACTCCGGTGAGAGAAAGAGAAGAGATAGCGAGTGTGGTTGTGTTATTTGGCCTGTGCATATGATATATATATATATATATAGGGGCAAGTTGGTTATTTTATTCAAATTTTTCTTTTTAGATAAAATATTCTAGAACTTAGACTTTTGACCGCATAAAGTTGAAAATTTGACTTTTCACCCAAACGCGAACATCGTTCTGGGTGTAAATGGAATTCCCCCCAAAAATGGCATGCAGCTGTCCAATGGGCACTTATGCTACTAACTGGGCTTGTTGTATCTTTAAGCCTTAAAAGAATATTTTTACAATATTTACTTTATTTTATTTGTGTGTCTTCTTGTGCAAGCGACAGTGTGTTTTCTATTAAGAAAATCAGATTTTATTTATTTATTTTATTCAAGAAAATTGGAAGTTAGAATTAGAAGGTGTTTGTGCAGAAATACCCTAATGCACAAGCAAACCCCAAATTCAAATAGGAAAGACAAAAGGGCTTGTTTGGCAACCCTCTTCAATTAGGTCAATCAAAGATATACATTTGTGTTAAACTTCTTGTAGGCCCTTTAGACGCAATAATAAGTTAAGAATGACTGACCAATAAACAAAAGTTCCATCCCCTATAGGAGAGAGTCAAGAGCCTCTCCTTGCAAGCTTGTGCTTGCGTCCGTCCTTGCAGGCCTTCGGGTCTACTTTTAGGCTCAATTTTGATAATCCGAACCGTTTATATTTTATGATTTATTCAGTATATCATACCTGTAAAAAATCAAGTTGATCGGATATCAGAAAGTATGTGTTTGAAAAATTGAACTAAACACTATTTTTTAAAGAATTTAATAAACAGTTTTCCGAACATATGCTTTCTGATATCCGATCAACTTGATTTTTTACAGGTATGATATACTGAATAAATCATAAAATATGAACGGTTCGGATTATCAAAATTGGGCCTAAAAGTAGACCCGAAGGCCTGCAAGGACGGGTGCAAGCACGAAAGCTGCAAGGAGAGGATCCTCACTCTATAGGAGATCCCAAAAATTTATTTTCCATTCACGTGGCACGTCATGATTGAAAGTTGAGTTCCATTACTACTTTGACATGTCACCTATGCAATCCTAACCCAATTGGGGAATACCAAAGATTGTATGTATATAAAAGTATAGTTCTCCAATTTTGTGTTGTCAAATTAAATTGAAACCCTTCAAAACTCACAACTCTCTCTACTCTACTCTACTCTCTGCTATACCATGGATGAAAAACAAGCATCTATTGCATTAGAAGATAATTATGAGGAGAAAGTCAATAGACATTGCTGTTGTGGATGTTTGTGTGACAAGTCACAGTGGATTATGAGGCAGCAGCAACAACAAGGGGAGATCAATGAAGGTTGTTGGTTCAAGAAGAAAGCCGAGAAGCTGAGACAAATCTTGGAGTGGAACAACTTTATTGGAAGGTTTTGCATTCATGGAATATGTAACAAGAAGAAGAACAAGAGCAGAATGCAATTTCACTACGATCCGCAAAGCTATGCTCTGAATTTTGATGATGGTTATTATAACAACAGAGAATTAGACGATCCTCCGCTTGGTGAATTTGCAGCTCGGTTTACAGCTCCACACCAGACCATTGATGACATTGCTTAGTTTTTTTTTCTTTTTTGGTTGTAAAAAAGTGTGCTTTTTTTTTTTTGTTTAATTCTTATAATAATTAAAGTCTTTGTTGTTTGTAGAAATTGGTTTACAGGTAATGTTCCATTCATTCAATTATTTTTAATTAATTTTCTATAATGAAAACTTGCCATTCAATTTAAATATCATTGTTCTTCCTCTAGGCATGCATGTTGAAGGAATAGGGATAACTAGGGAGATTAGGGTTATAAGTTTTTCCATTTACCTTGTTGATCAAAAAATAATAAAAAAAATTACATTTATGTTTTGCCCTAACTCATTATTTTCATGCCTAACAAAAATATATAATTTTGGTACAATAAACACTCTACTGTTATGTTTCATCTTGGACTTGTGAGGTGAAAATAAATAAATAAAATAACCAAAATTTCGTCACCTATTATTTATTTGATTTTAAGCATTTGGTAACGAAATTTGGTTTTCGTCTCTAAAAATAGTACAATTGGAGGCGAAATCTTATTTTCATCACTAAAACATGTATATTTGGAGACAAACTATTTTTTCGTCACGCATTTTTTGTCACCATAGACCTTTTTTGTTGTAGTGACTTGACTATCTGTTCAATTTTTTTGTCTATCTGTTCAACTTTTCTCCTAACTTCTATCTATCTGTTCAATTTTTCCCTAAATTCTATTTATCTGTTCAATTTTATATCTATCTGTTCAATTATTTCCCCTAAATTCTATCCATCGGTTCAATTTTTTTCTATCTGTTGAAAATTTTTGTCAACATTTTTGTTTATCTACTATAATCATCATCAGCAGCATCAATTTTTTCCCAGATCTATCTCATACATACAGACAATCATACATACATATGCATACATACAACCCAACCCAACCCAAGTCAACAATTATATTCTATCTATCTGTTCAATTTTTTTTTTATGTTCAGATATCTCTCTCTCTGTCTCTGTGTGCGTGTGTGTGTTGCAATCTGCTTCTTTTTCATTATTATCATTATCATCAATAATAAATAAATAAATAAAATTTAAAATTCAAACATATGTTCAAATCTCTCATCTCCCTCTATCTGTCGCAATCTGCTTCTTTATCATCATCAACAACAACAACAACAACAAAACAATAAAAAAAAATTAAAAAATTCTCAAATCTCTAAGAAATACAACAACAAAAAACAATCTCACAGTGAAATGAAGGTGGTATTGGTTTCCCAAACTACAGTCTCTTAGCCAAACACCCCATCTTCGCTCCTAAACAAATGTTAGGGTTAGGGTTTTCAAATTTGTAAGAGATTTTTCAACTCCGGTGGTCTGCTATCATTCATCCGTCATCCTCCAGCCATGAGATCTAAATTAGGGGTACAACTCGGGCGAGTTTGGTTGGGTTGGAGATTTGCCGAAGCCCAGCCCGAATTGTGTTTGGCAATGCCCAAGCGCAACCATTAACCCGAGCATGGTTGCCCTAGCCCAAACCGAGCTTCATAATTTGAACTCGAATTAGCCCGAATTCCCCGAATTTCTTAAGGCAACAAATAGCTTCTGAATTTTTTCATACAACAAACAGTGCTTCATTATATACATAAGTCCATTAGTCTATACAACAAACTTAAACATCATCCTAACCACAAACACTACTACATATAAAGGTAAATTTCACAAGGCAACAAACAGTGCTTCATTATTTCATACAACAAACAGAGTAGTTCGTAGGCATTAGGCAAAGAGCATTTCACTAATGCATTGTAAGACCAGGATTGATATCAGTATCAATATCTTCAATTTTCATCCTAGTAGGTAATTCCCAATCAAATGAGTAAAAAAGATTAGCAAGTGCAAGCTCTACTGTTGTAACTCTCAGATTGATTTCACAATGCTCTTCGACCAGATCTAAATGGAATTAGTCTAAAGTCCTCTAAAATCAATATCACTAGTTTTGAGTGGTAATCGAACGACGAGTGACCAAAAATAAACAAATTGAAGCACAAATACAAACACAGAGAGGGATCTAATAGTTTTGTATGGCGTCAAAGCTTATCGAAAGGGTGGCGTCGTCGTTGTCCATGGCGTCGTCGTCGTCGTTCGTCGTTCTTCAACTCCCATGAAGAAATGAAATGAAAGTCTAAGAGAAAGGGAATAAAGAATAGATAAGGTAGGGTTTTGTTTTTAGTTTTAATTTAATGGTCCAAATAAAATATGCTAATCCAAAAGCCAAAGACCACCCCAAAAAAAAAAATTAAGGGCCAGCTATTTAGTTTATACATATATTAAATAATTTATATAATATATTAAATGCAATTCGGGTTCGGGTTGCTCAGGTTAGCCATTGACTCTGCCCAGGCCCGGCCCAAATTACAATTCGGGCATCAAAAATTTGCCCATGCCCGTTTAAATTACAAGATATTGTTGCCCAAGCCCTAAAAAAACTCGGGCTGAGCACAGGTTGCTCGGGTTGAGCCCGCCCAAATTGCACTCCTAATCTAAAGCCACTAATTCGACTCATCATCATCCTCTTGCCGAAGAGCTCCCACACCTTCACCGAGCTCCCATCACGAGCTAGCGTGCCTCCAATTGCGAGCCTCAAATCTGAGCACACAACACATCAGATCCATGATCCTGAGCCTCAGATATGAGATCTAGAGTGAACAAGAACAACTAAAAACTCACCAGGAAGCTTACAACAACTTAGATCTAGAGTGATCTAAGATCTGCTCAACGTTTACAATAACTTCACCAGGAAGCTTGCGACGAAGTTTCCGAAACTAAAGAAATCAAAAACTCTTCATCTTGGAGGAAACTACTTTTACGACGAGATTCCAGAGGCTTATACGGAGATACAGACTCAGAAAAGTTAGGGTTATAAGGAAACAGACTTATTAGAAAGATTCCAGTGAGTTTAGCTCATGGCAGCGATCGACAGAGAACTGAAAGCGTAGAACAGAGAGAAAGAGAGAGACCGTTTGTGGGCTGCTTGCTAGGTTTGGTTTGTGTATAGCTTTTATATATACTAGTGGGTGGCACACACGATGTATGTGCAATTTAAATAAATAGGAATAAAAAAAATAATAATGAAATTAATATTATAATGTGTACTTAGCTTAAGTGGTATGAGTCCTCGCACTTAAACCCATGGTCATGGGTTCAAGCCTTGCCCATCTCTTTGTTTAACTTTTTTTAAAAAAATAAAAAATACTGCCACATTGCATGAGGAGAGTAAAGCTTCAGGACACCATAAGAGGTGTTCACTTTATAATAGTACTAGTGGGTGGCACACACAATGTGTGTGCAATTTAAATAAGTAGGAATAAAAAAAATAATAATGAAATTAATATTATAATGTGTACTTAGCTTAAGTGGTATGAGTTCTCGTACTTAAACCCATGGTCATGGGTTCAAGCCTTACCCATCTCTTTGTTTAACTTTTTTTTCAAAAATAAAAAATACTGCCACATGGCATGAGGAGAGTAAAGCTTTAGGACACCATAAGAGGTGTTCACCTTATAATAGTACAGATAGATAGATACGTGAAAACCCACATTTTTTTATTTTTAAAAGAAGATAAATAAATAAATTAATTAATTTTATCCAGTCTATCTGAATTATATATTAGTGTAAAAGTTAGTTTTAAATTGACTCAATTCAATCACTAACAAAACATTATTAAGAATAATAATTTTGTGGGTATTCAATATTTGTTGTTTATAAATTATTTTAATTAGGATTCAATATAATAACTATTCTTACTAAATACCTTAGTTAAAAATCTTAGTGTGTCAATTTTCAGAAACTCACACAAATAAAAAAAAAAAAAAAAGAGGTAATCAAACCTTTGTAGAATTTTGGTGGAGGCTTTCCACATGTTGATTTGCATGCTTGTTTAGGGAAGAAGAGCTAATGATGCTCTTGGAATTGAGAGAAAGAAAACTTAGAATGAAGAGAGAGAGAGAGAGAGAGAGAGAGAGAGAGAGAGATTTGTGCAACAAGCATTGTATATATATATGCATGCAAGTCTTCATTGTCTATAGGGTGCATGCAAGCATTCGGAGAGAAGAAAAAAAAAGAAGAGAGAAATCCCTGAAGCATTCGGTGAGGAAAAAAAAAAAAAAAGAAGAGAGAAATCCCCAAAGCAACCAAGCTTAGTGATAGGAAAGGAAGAAGAGTAGGAGATTAAGGAAGCCAAAATTCTCAACCATTTTGTCATTCTATTACTAAGTAAGAAAACTCTCTCAACCCTCTCATTTCTTTTTATTAGTGAAATTTTCAGATTACTTCCTTGTGATTAAAATGACTACTCATAAATAGAAATTTTATATTCTGAAACTGTGATGAAAATAGTCTATTTTGAATCTGCCAGAATGTCACTTGAATTTTTAGACAATTTTATACTCAGAATTTTGAGATGATTTCTTCTACAAAGTTGTTGATAATGATGTCTAGTTTATCCAGAAATTTTTGGAAATAATTTTCGAGCTTTCTACGAATTTATACAAAATTTTAACTAAATCTGAAACAGTGATGAAAATAGTCTATTTTGAATCTGCCAAAATGTCACTCGAATTTTTAGACAATTTTATACTCAAAATTTCGAGATGATTTCTTCTACAAAGTTGTTGATAATGATGTCTAGTTCGTCAAGGAATTTTGGTAATAATTTTTGAGCTTTCTATGAATTTATACAAATTTCTAACTAAATCTGAAACTGTGAGACAGATTTTACCGTGTATTTGAAAATTTATTTAAAATTCTATACTAAGCCAAATCTGGTAATTTCTAACTAAAATATGAAATTTGAGAAGTCTAGTTTTATGATAAAATTTTAGATTATGGGTTTGATCTATAAATTTAAGCATGGAATTAATGTAAGGAAATGTGACAAATCTGTGTCATAAACACCCTTGGAATTTGTTTAGAATTATTTATAAGTTATTTTTGGAAAATACTTTTTGAAAAATAACCATAACATGTTTATTGAGTATCCTGTAGATTGATATGAATTTTAGAGTTGTATAAGTAATGTAT